AAAAACGAAGAAGTTGCCATATGGTATATAGTTGGTAACGATAGGTATGAAAAAATTTCTCGAAATATAGTGAAAATTGATCTCATTTTGTAGAGCACAATGAACTCGTTCCATCTGTGCAAAAAAAATTGAAATCTGAGTTAGAACGAAGAAGATAAGAGTCTATTAAGAAAACTAGGGAAAATAAAATGCATTTAATTCACAATCTTCAGATCTGGATTTTCTGGGCCCACTTATATCTAAATATCCAGATTTAGTTACTCATAGGTCAGTAACTAATGATTACTGACCATATCCCAAGCCTAGGAATACGACTACAACAATAGCAAACCTGGGATGAGAGTCTTCCATATTTGGATTTAATCCATATATTTGGAACACCCTCATCTTGAAGATAGAAACCTGGAGGAAGAGGTTCTACAAGTTCGATCCCCACCAGAACTCTGATGAAGCTAACATAACGACCCTCAATAGCTCCCATCCCATCTCCTCTAATGACATCCTTGAAAATTATATTGAGAGGGTGGCCACATTTTCCTCATATCTAAGATCCTCTAGAAAGTGATGAATTTCTCATATCTTAACTTTGTCTTTCAGTGAGTTGAAACTGATGACGAAAATGTGATACTCAACTTTTGCAACTGAAGGTTTACTAATCTCCCTCCGATTCATGCCCAGTGTAAGTTCCATCGGAGCTAGCCTTGTAATCAACTTTCCCCCTAATATTTCACTAGTTTTCCTCTCATTAGAGCTCTTTTTGGTTTGACTGTATGAAGGGAATCAGCGATACCTAGGGATTTCCCACTTGGTTTTTCCTTCACTGGAATTTTTTTCATGAGGTAGTTAGTGATACGTCGATCAGTTGTACTTTTTCCTTCACTATTTTTTTCTCATTGGATTTTCCCTAACAAGGTTTTAACGACTTCATCTAACAGTCATCCAATAAGAAGTATAAAAAAATATTGATGCATGGTTATATTAGATGCACACATTAGTACACAAATGGATGTTATATGAAATCCCTCACGCACATTTGAATTTGCGTTTACTTGCTTATTATCCTCATTATACACATTGATGATAGAGTTATATGTTGTATAGATTTTGTGCCTATAAATAAAACACATATTGCATCAACAATGCACATGAATAAGAAAAACCGAGTTTCAATCTCTTCTTGTGTTTTTTTTCTCACTACACTTTGCCATGGCTCAAAAAGCGCATTTAGGCAACACCAAAATGCCTCTCCTAGGGTATCCGCAGGAAATTGGGTACCGAGAACACATCACAGAGTAAGTTGGCACCTAAGTGTTTCCTTGGCATAATTAGATGGAGTTAGATAGTCAATATCAAAGAGGGGAATAAGCCTTATATACAAATTAAATCTTATATATCAATATTCTCAATAGTTCAAGAAATTTGTGACCTATTCAGCTATGATTCTATGAATTTGTTGGCTAAATTTCTTATTGGTAAAGTTATTAATCATTTAAACAAAAGTGTGGAAGTGTAGTAGATTGTTATTTCATTCATCATGTAGTACAAAATGCTATATTTTCTTCCAACGCTTAGGCACGCTTAGTCTACGGCTAGGCAAGCATGGGGCTAGACGAAGCCCCAACAACCCGTCTTACGCCTAGCGCCTTCTTGAACCTACTTGTTCATCTTCCTCGCATTTTCTTAACAATTTTATATTTTATTGATTTTTTTATTTTTAACTAATTTTTTTCGTTCTCATAATTTATTGGTGTACATTTTTACTTATGTAATATTAGTATAGGTGTTTTTATTAATTTAGTATGTATGTAATTGTTAACATGTTGAAGTTATAAATAGAAATTATTATCCATGAATTCTCAAAAATCCTTGAAATATAAAAATAGTTTCTCTTTTGAAAAATCACTCACTAGTAAATGTTGTAGCTCTTAAACAAATACTAAAAATAAATCTAAAAATGCATCAATTGGATAAGCGAGTTCAAAGTTATGATTGTCTGAAGTAGGGGTGGGCATCCGATTCGATAAACCCAAACCGACCCGACCCGAAACCGAAACCGATATATTGTTGTTCGGTTCGGAATTCAGAAGAGGAAACTGGTTACTTCGAAAACCAAGATGCTCTCAACCGAAACCCGAATTCCGAACCGAAAAATGAAATATAGCCCACAGCCTACTAAAACCCACCCACAACCACTCTCCAGCCCACTGAAACTCATCCCACATCCACTCTCTAGCCCACTAAAACCACCATCCCACAGCCAACCATATCCTCTCCAAACCCTAGCCTCACATCCTCTCAAAACAGCGGCTGCCACCCATCCTCTCAAAATAGTGGCCGCCACCGCCTAGCCGTCCGCCATCAGATCGGCCATCGCTCTGCCATCTTTTCCTTCATGCTGACACCACGACGGAAGAGGAGAAGAGCTCGCTAACATGCAAAGTCTGTTCCACACCTGATTCGACCTGGATGTGGAGCAAAGAGCGGTCAGTAGAGCGGAGAGGAAGGTCGGAAATCGAGGGAGAGAGTGTAGAGGCAAGATGCGGAGAGAGGGATTGGTGGCAAACGTCTTCTGTGGATTCTTCAGAGAGAGTGAGAGGCAGAGATGAGGGAGATAGTGTCGACGGCAGGAGACAGGCGGAGAGAGGGGTAGAGGCGGAGAGGGAAGTCAGAAATCGAGGTGTGGTCGAAGAGAGTTTCCTAACGAGAGAGCGAGAGACAGAGAGGAGAGAGACTTTTCTACCAAAAAAAGAGGAGGGAGAGAGTGGTGGCGGAGAATATAAAATAAAAAGATGAGTTGTGGCCGGCGATGGTATTTCGGGTTAGGCTTTGAAACCGGACTGGACCGAGATATAGTTCGGTTCGCTCAATCAGAAAATGTCGCGTTTGGAGATATAAACGAGCGCAAAATTAAGATCGTTAGAAGCTTCTATCTATGTTAGGTTTGTCTAGCAATTTTTGGGGCTATGTGCCTCGAATATCCACCCTGTTGAGGGTTGGTTCACTTAATTATGTTGCGATGCACTCTAGTTTACTCTCTACGTCAGTGAACTAGTATGTAATTTCACTTAGACACTAAAACGAACTACGTCAAACTCTAGTATTTTGTAAAATATTGTTGTAATTATTGTGGAGCGAAAAAGAATTTGATCTAATGATAGGGTAAATGCCGCATTTGGTCACTAAGATTACTAAATTATGTCATGTTTAGTCACTAGAAAAATTTCATATCAATTTTGGTCACTCGAATTACTAAAACATGTCACATTTAATCACTCTACCGTTAGCCTCCGACAATGCAGTTAAAATCGCGCTTTAAAACTTAAAAACTTACGATTTTACGCTTCTAGGACACCAAAACGCTTTCGTTTCCATATAAAATCTTAAGTGTATAAAATCGGGACTAAAATGCGCTTTAAAGCTTAAAAGCTTACGCTTTTACGCTTCTGATTCACTAAAACGCTTTACGCTTTTACGCTTCTGGTTCACTAAAAGAGTATTCTATTCATGAAAATACTTATATTTTAAAGGTAAATCACATAAAATATGATATATTTGAGATTAAAAGATACATATCAAGTACTTGGGTGCATTCTTAGTTTCAATAGAGTAATCTAATTCACCAGCTATGCCCTTCCCAAATTCACTAGCATAGAGGGAAATGTAACTTATTGTTAAGATATATGTTTATGAACTTATTGTTAAAATGTTATGAGTTTCTCAACTTTAGACATAATTAGAAGTATTTATAATAACATTTTCTACCCCTTTACTATCGCAAATTAACAAACGTACCCCTCTACTAAATTTTTGCTCAAACATACCCCTATAATGTTAAAACGTAACAAATATACCCTTCCGTCTAATTTTCTGTTAAATGGGTTGTAAAATGACTAAAATACCCCTCAATTACCCCTAATATATTTTAACAATTTTTTTTATCACCCCCAATTAATTAAAACCTAACCCTAAGTCGTCACCAACGAATGCAGCCCGATGCCAGCGGCGGCAGTGACGATGCTGCTGTTCCCAGTCAGGGCAAAGCGGCAGGGCTCAATCACAACTCTCTCACCTGCGCTCTTTTGCCTCCACAAACTCCATCCTTTTAGGCTACTGGACAAAACAAAAAAGACATGAGTTTTTTCTCTACCCACTTTCCATCCATATTTGATTGAATTTTCGTGGGATTGGGATAATGAATTCAATACAATTGCATATATTGGTCATGTCGGAATCCCCCCTGTCCACCTGTCGTCGTCTCGCCCCTGCCTGCTCCAGTTGCCGGCGTTGAAGAGTCAGCCGTAACCGCCGCTGAGGGAGCGCTGGGGGATTCTTCTCGGAGTCGGGGCAGACGAAAGGATGGAGCATGGCTTAGAGATGACGGCTTAGGTAAGGTTTAATTAATTAGGTATCATAAAAAATGTCAAAATGAATTAAGGGTAATTGAGGGGTATTTTAGTCATTTTACAACCAATTTAACAGCCATTTAACAGAAAATTAGACGGAAGGGTATATTCGTTACATTTTAATATTAGAGGGGTATGTTTGTGCAAATATTTAGTAGAGGGGTACGTTTGTTAATTTACGATAGTAAAGGGGTAGAAAATGCTATTAACCCTTAACTTATCTAAACTATGTCCACTCATATTTTATCGTACTTAACACATTTTTCGTTATATTAAAGTATGCGTCAAAAACTTACGTTTTTACGCTTTAATTCTACGCTTTACGATTTTACCCATTTTCCGCTTCTAGGTAGAATCGCACTTTTGACTGTATTGGCCTCCGACCAACTCCAGTCACTCGAATTACTAAAACATGTCACATATAGTCACTCGAATTACTGAAACAAGTCACATTTAGTCACTAAACTAACAGGTTAGTGATTAAATGTAACTCATTTCAGTAATTCGAGTGACCAAAATTGATATGAAATTTTTCTAGTGACTAAACATGACACGATTTAATAATCTCAATGACCAATCTCAATGACCAGTAATTCGAGTGACCAAAATTGATATTAAATTTTTCTAGTAATTAAACATTACACGATTTAGTAATCTCAGTGACCAATTGTGGCATTTACTCTCTAATGATATTATTACTCATCTTGAATAAACCCAGGCTCGAATCACCTAACTTTGCACAAAACAATCCTATAGTATTGTGGGAACTTCCTGCGTTCGAGATTTGCCTTTCTCCCGAATCGTTTTTACTAGCTGCGGAAGATCAAATCCAACGAGAAGGAACAACAATACACCAACAAGATAAAAAAGAGGCAACCAAATCAAGAATTCAGCTAAACTGCACCATGGCTTATTCCACAACTGAACTCACTCCTTCAAAGCAACAAATACCGAGGGACAAAAGAAAAAAGAAATAACATGGAAAAATCGCCAATAGTGTACATACAGACTTTCTGGAGTTCTAAGAGTAGAGTACATGCACAAGAAAGAAAATGTTTCAATTCCAACAACAAAACCCACTGCTAAATCACTTTCGCACCTCCTGACAAAAAGACACTCAAGCCTGGAAAACAAAATCAGGGAAACCTTATATCAGCTTAGCATGGAGAAAGAAGACGAAGAAGCAGAGTAATCAACATACACTAATAATATTCGGCATACCTTGCTAGCAATGTTGTTGGAGAGCCAATCCAGCCCTTCATAGAGTCCCTCTCCAGATGTGGCACAAGTGCTCTGGATGTACCTGCAGAAGACGAGACAAAAGTTATCTCCAGTGTTTCTGATCAGAGCTAACTTGTGCACAAGAGGGTGAAACACTAAAATTGAGTAGAAGCAATGCAGTAGCAGCACAAGGAAGCAAAATGTGGAGAATTTTGTGCTCCTACCACAAAGTCAGACTCTCCAGGCAGACCTAGAGTAACAACTTATTATTGCAGCCAATTAATTTCAGTCAGTAAACTTGGTCTCTCTTAAAACTCGAAGCCTACTAGCGACGAAAAGAGAAACTTTGTTTCACAACTGCTGAATTGCAAGCATTGACATCCTCTAAAGTCAGAATCACAAATAAACTTTTCCGAATTTGGTATTCGTTAAAGGAAGATGAGTAATAATTAACTCTTACCAGTGACGTTGTCTCAGAGAATGAAGGCCAAGCTTGTCGGTTATCTCAGCAGCATTCATTGCATTTGGAAGATCTTGCTTGTTTGCAAACACTAACAGCACAGCATCCCTTAGTTCATCCTAGCAAACCATGAGATCAATGATAACGTTGAACACCATTCACACAGAAATAACTTCATGGCTGATAAAAGGATCTCTTACAAAGCTCTAATTACCTCATTCAACATCCTATGCAGCTCATCTCTAGCCTCAACAACACGGTCACGATCGTTGCTATCAACCACAAATATCAGCCCTTGTGTGTTTTGGAAGTAGTGCCTCCACAAGGGTCGGATCTAAGAATGCAAAAACAAACGAAATATATTACATATTCAGACAAGGCATGTCTTATGGAACTTCCATGGTAATCATCCAAGAAGAACTCAGCAACAGGCATGCTCAGTTGCTCACAAGCAAAAGCACAACACTTTCTTTCCAGGATGCATAATTCAACACCCCCCTCACAATATACATCTTGCGAATAATACAGTCATTTTGATTCATAAACTAAAAAGGTGATAATGCCCTCTTGATATAGCAAATCATCAATAGAAAAGGGCAGGATATACCAGCCAAAACCATCACAGCACAAGCAAACATCTGATATCGATCTGTATTCCAACAATTATTTGATAACAGTTCCGTGTGCAAATTCAGTAAGATGCACTTCATTATTAGGCAACCCACGAAACTAGAACGGCTTATTTTCACAAAGTGAGAGATCCTTGAGAGAGGAGTAATACCTTGTCCTGACCCCCCACGTCCCAGACTGTGAAGCTGATGTTCTTGTACTCCACGGTTTCAACATTGAATCCTGAACCATTTAGCGGTAAAATCAGTGAATGATCTCGAGATGGAACAAGTAACAGGCAGAAGTTGCACACAGATCTGGCCATCTATTCCACAATCTAGGCACGTCTAATGGGAAAACCAGGCTAGCAAACAGGAAAAGAGAGGAGAGGAGAGAATACCAATTGTGGGGATAGTGGTGACGATCTCCCCCAGCTTGAGCTTGTAAAGAATGGTGGTTTTACCAGCGGCATCGAGACCAACCATCAGGATTCGCATCTCCTTCTTGGAGAAGAGACTGCTGAACAGCTTCGCGAATGAAAGCCCCATCTTTCTATACCAATCTACAAACCTGCCGCACATCCAAAAATTAGAACCCAAGAACGAAAGGGTTCAGATCGCAGTTCGACACTCGCGATGGAAAATTGCCAAAAGATCCAAGCTTGAAAGATCAAAACCACAGACAAAGAAGCGATCTTTGCAAGATCTAGGAAACAAGATCAAGATAAGATCGGGGGTGAAGGTAAGAAAGGAGAGGGCTTTGCTTGCTTACCAGGATGGAAGAGAAGCGAGATCTGGATTGACGATTGGTTGAACAAGGCTTGAAATTCACGTCTTCCGATTTTGTAGATGGAAGGTTGAGAAATGAAGTTGATTCCTGACCTCCCTTTTCCTTTCCCTCGCAGAGGAAAAAGCGCAGGAATAGCAGTGGTCAGGAGGAGAGGGGAACAAATCGGGAGAGGGAGTGCTTTCAATCCCCAGATTTATTTATGTTTATAGCCCTCCTGAATCTGAATCTAATCTTTCATCCACCAAGCCTTTTTTTTTCTCCCTCACAAGTCACATCCCCTTTCTTTTTTCAGTTTTTTTTTTCATTTTTCAGTTTCCATTGATTTTATTGATTAATTTTTTAGGCAAATAGAGTGCTACTACTAAGGTTGGGCATTGGGTGGGTCGGGTGGATTTTGACCATAAAACGCCCCCATCAGTGCTTAAACGGATTGATAATTGTTAACCCACCATTCACCCACATTTAGTCTCGTGTTGGGCCGGGCGGATGGTAGATGATGCTGGTGGGTTTGCGAGGTCACTCACATGACAATGTATATAATATAAAAGAGTCAACTTGAGATGATAATCGGTGGAGAGAGTTATCGGGCGAAAACAAAAGGATGGAATAGGAAGGAAAAAAATGTCGAGTTAGTTTTGAAATTGGGTAGAAATTCTATTTTGGAGGTGTTTTCTGCAGATGGAGATGATTATCAAGTGCAGGGAACTAAGGAAAATAATTCAACGGGGGAAAGAGAGGTGATCTAGGCACAAGAATCGGAGGAAAAATAAAGGGAATAAGAGGGGATTGTGATTTGGAAGGTTGCCTTTGAGTTTCAATCTCCAGAAGCACCCTAGTTTCCTTCTAACATATCCACTCTCCCCTCTCCAGGGCTAACGATTTTTGTTGTTGAGTTGAGCAGGTCACCGTGCACCCGCCCGCAACCCACCTGCCACCCGATGGATGGCTCCGAGTGCAACCCGTCACCCACCCATAGACTCACCCACATAACAAAATTCGGGTAAAATGCGAGTGGGACGGCCAAACCCACGGGTGATCCGCCCGCATACCCAGCCCTAGCTACTAGGGTTTTTAATGAATCAAACTATTCGCGAACGGCTCGGTCTTGAACTCGATAAAATCTCGATTCATTTATTAATGAGCCGAAGTTGAGCTTAACCTTGTTGGACTTGTGAGGCTCGTGAACTATTTTGATGAGGTGGCTTGTTGAGTTCGACTCATGAACTATCTCATTTTGAGCTCATGAGATGTCTCAACATTGTAACTAGCGAGCCAACTTGATTGCAGCTTATGAGAAAATCAATCTATATCTTATGAGTTGGTTTGTTAATGATGCATATATTTATTAACTTTTATATCACACCTCATGTGATGTTTAATAATTTAATAATTTAAGTATGTGAGTAAATATGTCTTGCATATGACATGAAGATCACTTAATCACATGTATCGTATATGACATATAAATATTAGGGTATTTAATTCATAAATTATTTTAGAGTTGAGCTTGAATCGAAATTTTGTTTTTAATGATGAGTTGAGATTCAATAAATGAGTTTGCTCGTGTTCGGCTCGACTCAGCTCGTTCATAAACGAGCCAAGCTCGAGTTCGGCTCGTTTATAAATGAACTTTGTTGGTCATCGACCAAAAATATGGGCATGCCTACGGAGCTAAGGGTGTTAATCAGTCGCCGGTTATTCGGTTAAGCACCGAAAAGTTGGTTAATCTGGTAACCGACAACCGATTATATCATGCGGTGTCGGCATCGGTTGCTGTTTTGGGGAACTCTATATAACCGCGGTTAGCGATTAATAATCGCAATCGTGGTGGTTAACCGGAACAACCGTCGTCGCCCCGCAATCCGGAAGAAAGAAAAGAGAGCCAGAGAGGGAGTTGGAGGAACGGATCGGCGCTAGGTAGAAATGGAGGTGAATCGAGATGAAAGAGAAGAAAAAACGGAGAGGCAGGTCGAGAAGTTTCAGAGAAGATGAGATCGGAGAGACAGGGTAAAAGGGTTTGATCGTATTCTTGGGAGGAAGAACAGAAGAGAGACAAGGGAGAAGGTTGAAGAAGGGTGAGCGACGCTTAGGGTTTAGGATTGAACTAGGGTTTGATTTGGGTCTTAAGAGAGACTATATACCCCTTCTGCCTTCCCCTGAAATGACTAAATTGCCCCTCGCTTTCTGTTAAAATTACCCGTTGTCGCCTTCCTCTTCTTCCAAAACGACCCAGAGAAACCCTTTGATGACTCGATATTTGTACATGTTTTTCCCCTTTGTTCCTTGATCGTTTAAGCTTGCATTATTGCTTCTTTGGCCTATTTTACGCTAGGTTGTGTTCCTTTGTCATATTTCAGGTCCTAGCACATAAAGTAAAGCATAGGCGCAAGTTTCAAGTCAATCAGAGATCAATTGGCGATTCGGGAGAAGAAACTCTGGCATGACCTGAAGAAGAATGGATTTCTACCTCACTTAATGGACAAAGAATCGTGCAAGTTTGACATGGAAAGAAAGAGGACGAGACTACGAGCGTCTGGGATCAAACGGCGACTGATTCGGAGTCCGGACGAGGGAGAAACGAAGCATTGAATATAGGAGAACAGGTTCGGAAGTAAAAACACGGGCAGGAGGCCTTCAAAACACGGCCGTGTTCTGTGACCGTGCTTTTACTGCCGAGAGAAAATCCGAGTTTGGCAGACATGAGCTGATTACACGGGCGGGGCCGAGACAAAGCACGGGCGTGTTTTCCCAAAGCACGACCGTGTTCTCCCTAAAGCACGGCCGTGTTTTCACCAACATGTGGCCGTGTAATTAACCCTAGCCAAAGCACGGGCGGGCTGAGGCAAAGCACGGCCGTGCCCTCGACAGTGCTTTGGCCAATGATGCCCTTTTAGGCAGATTTTCAGCCAAAAGAGGGGGGTTCCGAGTTTTTGAGAGAGAAACCGATACCTAGAGAGAGAAAGCGACGAACCAGAGTTCTCAAGCGCCATAGATCGATCTTCAACACCATTGGAGCCCGTCTTGAGCTTGGAGAAGTGCGATTAAACGTCCAGGAGCAGGAATCCAACTTCACAGTATGATTTCCGTGTCTGAATCTGCTTTTGCTTCTTTCTCTATGGAGTAGTTTCCCCATTCATCTGGGTATGGAGAACCCTAGATTTGTATGCTAGGTCTGATTGTATGAACCCAAGTACAGAGTTTGTGAATTGATTTTATTCGATTGAGGTTTGAATGATTGAATGACTTGAATTCTGATCAAATTCCTGTTGTTTCTGCTTTAACCTAGAATGAGAATATCTGCCTAGGTTGATAGAGCACCCTTAATCGAAGGTGGCGAATTGGTGACTTTAGTCGAGGAGCCAATTCGCTATTCTGTACCGAAGTCAATTCGGTAGTGGAGGTTTGGTTCATTAGGGCCTCAATCTGTTTACTCCGGTGGAGGCTAGTCGCCCGCTAGAGACTCAGATTGAGAGGGTCTGGAGACCTTTAGTCGAGACTTCAGGCTAATTGAGAACCTTCCGCAGTATAACTTTCATGAAAGCTGAACTTGGTAAAATGCAATCCGACTTAACTGCAGTCTAGGGGGAAACCATATCCGGGTGACCTCTCTTGACTTGACAACAAACCGTTTACTTGCTTTGTGTTTTGTTTGCTTGAGTTTCACTAAAAGTTCACTGCTAAATAACAAGAATTCACCGAGTAGTCATCACATCTAGGACCCGGGTTGACATTAAAACCCGACCCGCTATACTACGCTTTAGAAAGTGGTTATACTTGGCCATTTTCTAGGGTGACAGTAGGAGTGAGTCAAGTTTTTGGCGCCGTTGCCGGGGACGGCTAGGTTGTTGAAGAAAAGTGATTTCTGTTACTCTAGCTTTTCTTTTCGCTTTGTTTGCTTTGTCCCACTTGTGCCTTCACGGGTTTGCTTGCTTGAGTGTGTGCAGACAGTGCATGACCCGTAGCCAGTCAGGAGGTTTACTGCCGTTGGATCCAGAGCTTGAACGCACTTGCCGCCAACTTAGGAGACAGCAGCGAGCTAGACTGGTTACGGGAGAGCGCATAGACGGCCACTTGACCAGCGATTCTGAGGAAGAGTACGAGATGGAGGGCGAAGACATCCCACAACCGGGGAATGCTCGACAGGCTCCCCCGGTGAATCAGCATCCACCACCACCGCCGGGTCCCACTTTGGAGTACTACTACACTCCACGGATTGCTGACATCCGCCCGGTCATCCTCTATCCACCCATCCCAGCAAATAACTTCGAGATCAAGCCAGGATGGATTCAGCTCATCACATCCTCTATCCAGTTCCATGGCTTGAAGGATGAGGAAGCCCGGGCACACCTTTCCCGTTTTCTGCAGCTGACGAACGGGTTCAAGCTGAATGGTGTTCCGGATGAGGCAATCCGCCTTCACCTCTTCCCCCATTCTCTGGCGGGGAATGCTAAAAGGTGGTTGGAGACCCAGCCCCCACTGTCCATCACTTCTTGGGACGATCTGGCGGATAAGTTCATGCACAGATATTATCCGGCATCGAAGACTACTGAGATTCAGCGGGAGATCACTCATTTCCGCCAAGAGCCAGATGAGTCCCTTCGTGATGCATGGGAGCGGTACATGGGATACTTCTGGCAGTGTCCCCATCATGGCTTCAGCGATGCTTTCACAGTGGGGAACTTCTACAGTGCCATCACCCCAGACAGCCAGAGGGTGATCGAGTCTCTATGCCCAGGAGGGGATATCCTTACTAAGACTCCACCCGAGCTGAACCAGATGATCAGTACCTTGGCTGCCCGCGATCATTCCTGGGGGCAGAGCAGCAGAGGCAGGCACTCCCGGGACCGTGGTGTGCATGCTATGGAGGCCAGATCCGGGTTAGAGCAGCAGGTGGCTGAGTTGGTGCAGACATTGAAGCAGCCTAACAGTCTCCTTCCGGGCCGAGGTGTAGCTGCGCCTCCAGTAGCTCAGTGTCAGTGGTGTGAGAGTCCAAACCATCTGGTGGAGGACTGCCAGGCTATGCGGGAGTCCTCTACTCCCCAAGAACAGTTGGCCTTCATCGCCAATGCTCGGCGCCTCGATCCATACAGTAGCACATACAATGAGGGATGGCGCCAGCATCCCAACTTCGCCTGGAGCAACAACACCAGTAAACCACCTGGTTTCCCAGCACCAGCAGGTGGTTTCCAGCAGAGGCAGCCTTTCCAGGCTAGGCAAGGGCAACCATTCCAGCAGCCTCAGCGTCAGTATGCCGAGCCCGCAGCAGCGCCAGCTCCCGATACTCAGATATCCGAGCTGAAGAACGTTTTG